ACACAGGCAGAAAGGCAGGGAAGCTGTGTGGAGATTAGGGATATTATGAGAGGTTAAATCATCTTCTTCTCTACCTAAGTAACTTGAATTTTCAACCAGACCAACTTGAAACATTATAAACAAAAGAAAATATTTTTTACTTGTCTAACAACATTTCAGTGACTCCAAATGATGTGTACTCTGTGACTTTGCATCTCCCCGAGCGACAGAAAGCTATCAGGGATTGACACTTTGGAAAGAAACAAAAAACCCTCAGGAAGTGTTTTATAACCAAACACAGGGGGGGGGGGGGGGGGGGGGGGGGGGGGGTGAAAAGATTTAGAGGAATAGTGGGAGGATGGAAGGAAGAGAAAAATGAGCAAAAGAGAAACAGGAGTGACGGAGAATGCAATTAACTGTGAAGGACGAAGTGTTAAAGGACAACAGAGGACACAGATGAAGAGACCAGGAGATAGACAGAGACAGGGAAACATTCAATCAAATGGGAGAAAGCAGGTCGGTGTATCATTCAAAAAAAGGAAAAGTAAAAAAATAACTAAGACATAAGACTGGGGAAACTATGAAGAAGAAATAAGATACCTCGGATCTACAAGTGAACCAAAGTAGAAGCACATTTGAGCAAAGTATTTATTGGAATAACAGGCTAAATAAAAACTAGTACTTGCCATCAATGAGTAGAAAACACCAGTGAGATCAACAGAAAAACAAATTGTCACGCATGATTTTTCTTGTTTCTCTGACAGCAGGGAAATAGAAGTGTTTGGAAATGAGCATGCTAATTGGCTATTTTATACAGATGTGATTGTCAAATGTTCTGTCAATGTCATCCAGAGGGATAAAGATGGGATTAAAGACTGTGTGAGAGAAATACATTGCATAATATATTAATGATTTTACCCAAAGGAACGCGCATTGACATGTCTCCCCCTGCTTTCACACTCAATTGAGGCTTTTTAATAGAAATGTCTATGACAAATGGCAATATTAGCAAAGAGCAGAGTAATTGTTCACTGTTGTCTGCAAGGAGTACGTAAACTTAAACAGAATATTATGTAAGCCTTAAAACATTAAAAGCTTTATTAGCCTGGAGGAAATTAACAAACCATTCTGGAGAATTAATGTTACGTTTAAAGACCAATTAAACAGCTGTAAAGAGGCTTTTATCAGTCTGCCCCACATACAGACACCTATTGGAGTCCCTTACCATTAAAAACAGCATCAATTGATTAAGTTATAATAACCCCAGCAACATTTGCAATATCCTTTTGTAAGAAACATTTTAAAAGCCTATAAGGCAATTTTTACCATAAGGAAAACCTGTAAGATGAATGTAGGGGGAATAATAAAAGTGTCATGTGGGACTGCACGTTCTTCGGCTCTGCTAACAAATGCCCATGATTTAAGATAGAGAACATCCGATCGATCAAGGAAGTAAGGGACCACGTTATGCCATTAGCTGAGCAGCTGTAGCCACGCTGCAAATTTAATTCAGGTATTAGAGGGAGGAAGGATATCACATGTCAGTGGAAACACAAAGAAAAAACATCTGACAATGTTGATCCATCAGAATTGAATGTGTAACTATGTACACACACACACACACACACACACACACACACACACACACACACACACACACACACACACACACACACACACACACACACACACACACACACACACACACACACACACACACACCACACACACACACACACACACACACACACACACACACACACACACACACACACACACACACACACACACACACACACACACACTACTACTACTACTATGCCGTCTCCGTTGTGCCTGTTTACTGAGCCATCACTCAACCATTTACTCTGTTCTAGCACCACCTATTGATACAACCATATGAAGTGCTGCAGTTGACCATTTACAGGAGATGTATCAGTGCATAAAATACATGAAGACAATTGTGATCCATTTATTTCATGTCCGTCTCTTTCCTGGAGTTTTCCGTGAGCACAAATCAAATGATGCGAGCTTCTATTACTCTGAAACTGCTCATGTAGCCTGTGCTTGGTAAACAGCTTAACGGGGCAGAGACAACTGCAACAGATGACTGTGAAATTGAATTTGACAACAGCAGATCACTTTGTCTTCGTGGAAAATCATGATCAAACAATAGCATTTGACGGGAAAAAGTGAATATCTGACTCACGCTGAGAGGTGAATATGAAGGATGGACAGAGCGCGAAACTGCTCCAGCTGTGCTGCACATATTGTAACACTTAACTTTAATCGCACCCCATAACCAGTCCAGCTCACTCAATGGTTTCAGCTAAGTCAACTTGAGAGTCTCATGCTACTTTTTAATGTCTTTATCCTTTTACACAGCTGTGCACGGCTCTATGGTAGCAGGACATGAAAAAGTAAAGCCTGACCTCTGGCTCTGACAACACAGTGCTAATGGAAAAGGTTAAACCACACCCTTGGATCGGTCTGAGCATGATAGATGGTTTGCTAGCACGGGAAAGTGTGACATTTCAGCACTAGTCCAAATTATGCAGTTTCTCCGAACATTTCCAAACAGCTCGTCTTTCGAGGTTTGAAATACAGCCAATGTAAGTAGTCAATGCCATGACAGCAAAATTGTCTGCATTATCCGACAAGCTTAATACAGCTAGGAGTCAAAGGAGAGGGCTTTTCAACGTTGGCAACTCTGTACCACAATCCTGTTAGTTCACATGATTCAAGACTCCTCTGATTTTCCAAGAGACACGCAGGAGCAGTTTCACTGTAATTCCTGAGGAGTTAATTGAGCGCCTTGTTCATGAACATGACGATTAGGATGCCAAGACAGAGAGAGGGTGACATTGCGGGTCATCGCATGTATCTATGAATAAAACATGGTGCATTAGCTTGATTAATATTGAGGAATAAGAACAAGCAGAAGATAGTCGCTGACCTTCCCTGAGTGATGGGACCTAATTGCATGACTCAGTGTGTGTGTGTGAAACTGAAGCTGTATGTGCCATTAGGTAAAGCTGTGTATTTGCATTTGTGCAGTTTTTTCCCATGGCAGTCGCCCTCATCCCCACATAGAAGCATTCCGATACAAACGCACAGAGATGCTGCACAAGTGTGTATCCCCCGTTTATCCATTTCCCTTTCAGTTGGACGTAAAGCATTTTCCAAACCCTTGGAAGCCACTGATATCTCACATACGCAGTTCTTGAATTCGATGCACACTGTCCCTTCTAAGGCCTGCCTCTCCTTTTTCATATTTCCAAGCAGACCTCTCGCTGCTGCTCCTTGAAACGGGGAGTGAATGTTCTGCTTGCTGGCGTGCCCGCTCACCCGTCTCAGACCAGACCGACAGACAGCGTGCGGTATGATGAATGACTTATCTCTGACACTCAGAAAGCAGCCAAACACGATGCCAGCGCAGCCCAACTCACTGCGGGGCTCTGAACATATCTCAGCCTCCTGTCTGCACGTACCACTTCATCGCCGTCTTTCTCATAGCCTGCTGTTTCTGTTTCCCTTCTTTTCTCTGACATCCTCTCTGTGTGTTTGTTGCTATTCTTGTCCTTGTCTGTAGTGCACAATACTTGTAGATCAGTATACTGAGAAGCTCTCATTCCTCGCAGTCATATCAGCTCCACTCACCATCGCCCTCTAACAGACCCCCAGATGACACATGCCATTACTCTAAACACGGTTACGTAAACACCAAGGAATCCCCAAAAGAAGAATCCCAATTTAGCCACAGACATCTTCAAGGCAGTCACTTCAGCTTTCTGCTCTGTTTCCTCCACAACTGGAGACTGAACAGAGGCTCGCAGCATTCGGCGATTTTGGATTATTTTGTTTCCGGCTTGCGGGCCGATGGGTCCATGAAGGAATGCTTATTTTCCCTTTCCACGGTTTTGCTAATATAATCAATATGAGGGTGAATGCATGAAGGTGGTTTCAAGCGTTGAGAAGGATGAGAAGGGAGACAGAGTCCTGGGTGGATTTGGATGAAAATATAACTCATAAAAAGTCAACAGCTCTTTCTTGGAGCAAAGCAAAAAGCAGTCTAAGCCTCACCTCGTCACCAACGCCGTGTGCTTTGAGTGTGGCATTATGATTAATACAGCAAGTGCAGAAAGGTTGCATGCATTGACCTTTAATCTGTGTATGCATGTCAACCTTTGTGAATTGCACGCTGCGTGACTGCTTTGTGTGTGTGGGGGAGTCTTAATGTGTATTTATTACCTTTTAAAATTATAATTAATGCCAGTATAGATGACTCTCCAGTTGTGTTCTGGCTTTTTCTTTTTTTTGAAGAAAAGCAGGAGCCCGTGTGGATACATAGCAATCATTTCTGTGTGTGGCTGTTTAGGTCGTGAGAGAGTGAATGTGTGTGTGTGTGCCGTACAGGATTCACATATTTTTGGTTGCAAAGAGGACACGTTTAGAAGAAGCCAAGCTGCAATATGTGCGCAGTTTGTATGGAAAATAGCTCAATACATTTGCATTGACTCACCAAGTGGTATCCGATCTGCACAGAAATTAGCAGATTAGCATTGGTTTATTTGGAATTTACCAGAATGCCTTCACTTGAGTTTTTCAGCCATATAAATAGAGAACCATAGACAACTGCCCAGCACATCAGTATGAGTCACATCTTGCATTTTTTCCCTTGCTTAAAATACTCTTGAGTTTAGCTGGTGTTTGGATTTAAGCACCAAATACAGGCTGCAATCATATTAATCCTTAAATAATAATTAATATAATCCCTAGAACATAAACACAGGGAAATGAAAATCCAATTCACATTGCACACAGGCACCATAACCCTATGCAAAGAGGAGCACATTTCTCCTTCATCAGTGCTAGATGTGTCACACAAAAAGATAATTTGGATTAAAACTGATTGACAGGCAAGCTGAAAATGCAATCCCCAATTTAGCAGACTAATCGTAACAGCAGCAGCAGTAACTTAAATAAGTTAATACGAAGAAAATCCTCAATCAGTGACTTACCTCACTTGAACAGATTTTGGAAACAGCAGCCCCAGAGAAAGAGACAGATGCTGAGGAGAAGCCCGTTGGTGTCCCTCCTGGAGACTGACTCTCCTTTTCAACGCAGCGTCAATACAAAACTTTTTTCTCTGCATCCACGGAAATAAAACCCATAATAAAAATATAAATCAAATGCTGTTTACTGCCGCGGCTTTGCCCAGGTGTCTGCCTTTTTATGAGAGGGATTAATGAGCGGCGGTGCGGTGGAGGAGCGCCGGTCTGGAGCCGGTCTGAGCGGTGACACTTCGCTGCCCGGTAATCCAAGAGCGTCTAACTGCCTCCCGTTACGCGAATGAGCGTGTGTGTGGTGGAGCTCCTCCTCGCCTTATCTCGGTCTGTGTGCCGAGCACAACGGGCGGAGGCAGCCTCTTGTCAGCGTGTGTGCACTCGGTTTGGACACTTCTGGACACCGTTAAAAGATAACAAAACACCATAATGGGAGGAAATCACGAGCTAGTAATTTGATTCAACTCATTATGTGTGTGAATTATGCATGTGTCGTGTGTGATTGTTAAATTACCTCTTTGTACATGTGTGTAGCCTAGGCCTACTCTTTGATTGTTAAATGACCTTGTTTTAACATTTGTTCCAGCAAACACCACAAAGATAAATAATAGGGTAGTGGTTTGATACAACACAATATGTCAGTGAAAGTCAACAGTGATTGTTAAACAACCTATTTCTACATTTGTATCATCTTGTCATATCATATATTTTGTTATCAATAATATAGCAGCCTATAACTAATGGTCAAATGATACATTGTGAGAAATCACATCATAACATTGTTTGGTTATTAAAGTGATTATCTGATCCAGGGCCGGCCCTAGACTTTTGGGGGCCCTAAGCGAACTTTGGCTTGTTTGGCTAACCCTAACCCTAACCCTAACCCCCCTCACTCTAGCGCGTTCTCACTACACACAACACAGAACCAACTTTTGTCTTATGATGTTAGCATAAGCACACATATTGTATAAATAAGCATGTAAACACCGTGGACCTAACATCCTCCGTGGACCCAACATCCTCTACAATTTATTATTATTATTATTAGGGGGGTCCTCACCTCCTCTAAGGGGGTCCGGAGGCATGTTCCCCGGGAAGAATTGTTATTAAATATTGAAGTTAAAAGCATCAATCTGGTGCACTTTGAGAGCAAAATTAAGAGATCTATGGATACATCTCTCAACACCCATATGAAACAGAACTGTAAGCAGATTTTTTTTTATGGATATTTTACAAATCACTCCCCTTTTTAAACTGTATTCTTGTTTTGTCATATAGTATTTCATAACTGTTTTTCATTTATTCTCTCTGGCTGTCCATCTCATAATGTTCACATAGAAACTAGCTGTCAATAGGAATATCATTCAGAAGAATTATAATTTCATGCAAAAATCTGTCACAAAAAGAGGTTGCACATTTAAATTCAGGTGTTGTTATGGCAACGTCAGTGGCCAAACAGCCACATTTACTGCTGCAAATACGTTCAAACATGCTGTCGACACGCAAAGCAGTGGCAACTATGCCACCATTTCAGCTGACTTTTTCTCAGAAATACTGTCACATAACATCCATATATTTCAGTGCTAGGTTGATGCTTAGCTAAGCTAACTATGAAACAATTGAACTGACAGGACTCAGGATCGACTGTGTACTGTAAGGTAGCTTCTAGCTTCATGTCGAACAGTAAGTCAAGCTCTCTTTGAAATCACCAGGTAACGCTAAAAAACATTACATTTAGATTGTATGACAAAGTGTTTATTTAATATATCTGGCTAGCTATAGCTACTTGCTAACGGTTTAGCTTACCCCGCGATTCAAAGTAACGTCAACGTAGCTGTAATTTATGCTTTGCTTACATGTTCGCATAACTTGGAAGTTTACTTACATTTACATACCTTGTTTAGCTGGCTCAAGTGGTGGCTCTGGGGTTGTTGTGTGAGCCACCACTTGAGAATTGTCGTCTTTTTTAAGAAAAAATGTTCTTATGTCTATCTTCAAAAACTCTGAGTCCGACTGACAGTTTATTTTAAACATTGTCACAGCTCACAGGATAGGTAGGTCATCCAATAAGACAGATGTTTATTTCCATTCAACTCTCTGGTTGGTCTGTTGCATTCACTGAACACGGAAAATTACAATCCTGCCGTCCTCTCTAGTGTCATGATGAGGTTCAGGTAAAGCACGGTTAATGTATTATATTATTGACTCAATAATATAATACATGACTTTGAGAGTAGGCAATCCAGGCATATTAACAAAATTAATTAAACATACTTATCACGGCGACGGTGTACTGAGATAAACAATGTTTTGCTAGGGGGCCCTTAGTGGCTGCGGGGCCCTAAGCGGCCGCTTATGTCGCTTAATGGGTCGGACCGGCTCTGATCTGATCACCATCTGTAATTAAATCTATCTTTCAAAAGTACAGGCACAGTATCCGGTGATAAACATAGATTGTGTCAGTTCATTCTTGCTCTTACCTTTTGAAAAGGGTCCTGTAAAACGTGACATGATATGCTTGGAATCATAACTTGACAGTTTCAGGGTTGTTTTTGTCCTACTTTGAATATGTTCCTTGAGAACCATGATTGGTTTTTAGTTGTGATATCACACATCACTACTTGTTCATACATATCTTAAATCCATAAGTAATGGTTATAAGAGGATTTTTCAGACCTCCACTAGCTTTATGGGGCTGTTTTCAACGAGTTGGTCCCCATTTTGTTTAACACGTGCCTCAATACAGGTGTCACTCTTTTCCACTGATCACTAGGTGGCAGTAACACGCCAAAATGTCCTGCAACAGCAAAGAAAGGAGAAGAAGAATACTAACAAACATGGATGTAAACGATGCTGAATTTAAATACTTGGAAAAACTCAACTGCTAATATATTTCATGGGAAAAGAATGCTCTCATCATGTTTGTTTGACATCAAGGATACATACAATGTATTTTGGTGAGTAAAACTTTTTTTGTTTTCAAAGACAACTCCAGGGGCACCTGTAAGGTGACTGAGTGCAGACACACTTTCCCTCTTCTGTTGATCAAGGTGGAAACAGCCTTTTTATGTTTTTTAGTGGAGGAGAACAGAATTTAACTGAAGACATGCTGGATATTTAGGATCTACTTTTGTAAATGGCTCTGTAGACTTTAAAGTGGCATGGTTGTCAGCAGTGGGCCCTCTAAAGTCAATGTAGGTAAGATGAAAACAAAGGACATTCTAACAGAAGTCTTTATTAAATGTTGTGACAATAATTGACAAAAAACAGATGCTCAAACTCATCATGTTATCTCATTACCGCTGGTTTTGATCAAAGCAGCACCCATACGTTATGTTTATTCACTAAAGCTTCAGATCAATCTTGTCCATTACCCATGAATAATCTTACTAACTTAATAATACATGTTTGATGATCTGCTGAAGAAGGTGTGTTATATGAAGCAAATATAAATATCAAGACCACTGAAAGCACAGGTCGATTGGTAATTTGAGGCCTGGTAGTCAGACTTACCATTTAGATAGCTGGTGATGTACAAAACAGAACAGCTTTGGAGTATCTTGAAAACAGGAAGTGTTCCTAATTTTTGTCTTTTTGTTGCACAAAATTGTCTATACTTACTAACAACACCTTCAGCTGTTTGTCTGCAGTTCCTGTCATCACAAATTGAACACTTATTTGCCCTTATCAAAAAATACACACACACGCGCACAGAAAAATCTGTACATGTTTCTGCATACTTATAACACATTATAACAGTGAAGGACTTGATGAGGCTGTCATCTCTAAAGCCAGGAGATCTGCAAACAAACCAGCAGAAAAGACGAGAGGGGGACAGGAGTGGACAAACACGATCTACCTAGAAAGGTTAGTCATCTTCCTAAAATGACAACAACATAAGTATCGTCATCTATATTTGACAGGCATGTCTGCACACATAAATTGATTGGATTAACCCTGCAATAGAGCAAATAATGTGAATCTCCTGGTAGCACTGATTTCTGGAGAATTTTGTTACAGATTTGTTTCTTTATTTCCACTTATCTACACCTGGATACAAGTCTCTGAACAGCCAATAAAAAAAATATATATATATATATATAAACTACAAACATCTGTCTAACCTAATTCTTGTCCGACGATTCATAACAGACTGTCTACTGTCTGTAACATTACATTCATAATCGTCTGCTTTATATGTAGATTTCGAGGAGTGAGTCAGGAATTATGCCTATTTTCCAGGAAGATCCCATGGCTGCCTGTGCTGCTTAGCTTCATGAAAGATTAAACAATATTATGGAAAGAACATTTATGAATTCTAATACAGGGTAGATTATTTGAAAATTGAATTAGCTATATTCAATATGTCTCTATTGTAAGACCATCGTTTGGTTAACTTTCCCTACTTTTACCTCAACCTGCCAAGCACCAAACAGCAGACAGAAAAGGTAATGACTGTTAACATAGTGCAGCGTGTAACCATGTAATTCCCTCAGGAGTTGAAGGATACCAAAACGGAAACTAAGAGAAGTTTGAACATTGCAATGACATTCAACATATGTCCAACAACTCAACTCCAACTAAGGGATGATGTTGCCAAGTATCTGCTGGATGTTACTGCTAACACATTCAACTTTATAATAGAACATGATAATATGTCAGCATGTTCTGCTGCACCCAGGTAGCATTGGTTTAAGAGTGCTGGGTTGATAACTGATAATGTGTTGGCAGCTTGTGTCTACTGTGTGGATTATATTATCTAACATCCTTTTCTTTAAGAAGTAGGCTACATATAATGCGCTCATTTTAGGTTCATATTTGTATTTTGTACCTCTACTGTGACATGTTTAAGGTCTTTATTTTTCTCATACTGGCTGTGATGCAGCACTTCTTTTCACCCTCTGTCTGAAACCCGAAAGAGCCCAGTCTCCTCTGATTGGTTAGCTGCCCGGCTCTGTTTTGATTGGTCAACCGCTTAGATATGTCCCGCCCCTTAGCTTATCATGTATAATGAGTTGGAGCCCCAATAGAATCGCGAGTGTTACATAGTGATGTCACTATGTTACGGAAGTAAACAAAGGAGTCCAATGGAGGTGTTTCGGGCACCACATTTAAGTTAGTGAAACTCGTCTAGGCAGTGTGATCAATTGGTTATTATAATTCTCATCTCTATTGAAATAAGAGTCTGCTCATATCCTTATTCACTCACCAATCTATATTGAATTAAATTTTCAGCAGGTATCCTAAAGGACAGATTTTTCCCTCTCTCAGATTTTGCATACAACATGCTCACTCAGGCAATGTTCACCTCTCCTGTTAAACCCTCTTGTGGGCAGCATATGGTGGGTCAGCTTTCCTAAATTGAATATATATTAAAACACATTATTAAGCTTCAAATTCCATTGTGCCACTGTGAGAGAACTGCTGAAAGGAAGCTTGATATGAAGTCTTTGACCTCTTGGAAGCTGGTAATTGAAGCGCACAGGCGGAGAGGAAGAACCTCCCGCTCAGATTGAAATCTTTATTTTATTTATCTTATTTCAGAGCTTTTCAACTGTGCCGGAAGGAGGAGAAAAATCATGGCTTCAGGGAAAATAGGCATCTGTATTTGTTCGTTCTGCTCAAATCGCTTTTAATCTTCCCAACCTTGATGGAAAAAGATTCTGGCAGATATGCGGGAAGGTGAGGGCAAAATTAGTCATCTGCTGCCAGCTATTTGGGATTGTGAAACAACAAAAGCACAGGATGGTTGTTGTAGTAAAGACCAGTGAAGAGAGCGTACGATTTGGACAATAGTGACAACAAAATGTCATACTCTTATTCTTTAGGTTAGAACCCTTACACAAAAAAGTCTTGATTCGGAGTATTCACAGTATTCATTAGTATTCACCGCAAAATTAAATTGCCGCACCACTACCGGAGTCAAGGCAGGATGAAATTACATTAGGACTCCAGAATCGGGAAGGTAGTGTAATGACTATTAGTAAACCTTGTCTACATGAACGTGCACCGACAACACACGCTGACGAATTAATCTCTTTGTGTTGGCATTTCTCTGCAAATCATTTGTTAATCTGCTGGGGTTTCCAAGTATTCAGAAGTGTGGATTTTCTGACATGTTTAATTATCAGCGCTGTGTGTTTGGCAGCCTGATGGTCAGTGGAGAAAAGCCAAGATTCACATTACCAGACACATCAATCAGAAGAAAGGAAAGGGGGGGGGGGGGGGGGGGGGGGGTGTGACAGGGATGGAGATGTTCAATGTTACCTGAAAGAGGGGGTGACCTGTCGGCTTTACAGTTTGAAAAGACCAACCTCTGACAGATAAGAAATGTATCTTAAAATATGAAGTCGCTTACATTTGCATGCAGTTTGTTACCCTGGTGACCAACTTCTATCAGCAGATTGTGTCTTTAAACACAGTTGTACTGCCAATTAAATGCAGCAAGAAGTTAATTGTGAATCTGAAGGGATAAGAGATAAAATACAGGATAGGAAAGCAGAAAAAAAACGTATTTATACAAGACTAGACAAGCTTTTTTGCCGAACTTATGTGTTTTTCAGAATCAGAATTGATTTGTCCTACAGAGGGGACATTTACATTGTTACAGCAAAAGTGAAGATAGAGACAAACTAAATAAAACACTATTAGAAAAGGCTACACATAATATTTTAAATGTAAAGAATAAAAGGGTTATTTCAATATATTTTGTTTTTGGTTGAACTGGTAGAGAACCCATTATTTAGTGGACGCACAGAATATATAAAGGAACATATATACCTACCTTTATTTCCATTTAGCACCAACTTCTATAAACTGATCCAATCCTGTTACATTTGCTGAGAAGTTTTTATGAGCAAAAACAAAGTTACCCATCAATATATTGACCAGGCTGTTTTGTCTGCTTATAATGTCATAACTGAAATGGAAACATTGATTTCCTGTTTCTGGCATTGGGGACACATGCACATTATTTGAAAGATTGATTGAAAGCAAAAACAATCACCTTTGGGTACTGTTGTTTTTTAGGAAATACTGTTTGATTTTTTTGTCTAAAATATTCAATTACTGCTTGACCATCTTCCAATGTCAGTTTCCTTAAATGAGAAACACAAGATGAGTTGGTCACGTGCCAAAAAGGAGAGGGACGTTGTAAATAGTGAAGCTGGATCTCCACCCGATGGTTTTTATATTCTCACACTGCCAGAGCGTGAGAGTACTCTGAAGGCAGCACTCACTTCAGAAAACAGATCCACCCACAGACACTGATTGTAGTAGAATATATTGTGCTGAGTCAACACCTGAGCTGCATGGCGTGGGCTGCTCCAATATACTCCAATTCGCTGTGTACAGGCTGCAACATCTGTTGTTTCTGAAGTTTACAAGTTTGATGAAAGCAGTCAGAAAACGATTTACTTGAACAGTTGCTTATTTTATTTTTTTACAAATACCTATGTACCTAAACCCCAAAATAGAAGTATCAAATGTGCTGTTTTTAGGTCTTGTTAGATATGTACATCTGCCACCAGGGGGCGTCCTACAGTATGTTAATGTCTCTTAAGAGCAATATATTCAAATGATAAATTAGCATAGTTTATGTCCAGAAAGTGTTTAGTAGTTAATATACATATACATATACCCTCTTTTAAAATGAGAATACTTAAACAAAACAATATTTCCGTCTGATAAATGGTCAAACATCCTACATGAATTAATCTAATTTTGTTAATGAGAAGCATGTTTCAATGTAAACGTCCATTAATCTCCATCGAGGGACAGAATTATGCTGCCTAATGCCCTGTATCTAATAAAATAACCAGAGCAGGAACAATTCATCTCGAGCTCTCTGCACTACAACAGATCTTTTGCGGTCAGTATCATAATGCCATCCATTAATGGTCATAGAAAGAACTTTGTTAAAATTAAAAATTAACCAGCTGTGTCCTTCTGTACCATCTCAAACATTCGTCATGTCATTGGTGATTAAAATACACGGTGAGAATATGTTACTGCAAGGTTTATTTATACCTAACAAAAGATTTGTTACAATAATATTCGTAGTAGATCATCATGTTTAATTTAATAACCTATCGCTGACCTGTATCAGGGATTAGCTTTTTCTAACCCTTTAAATATATATCAATTGTATATTTAATGATTGAAAAGTTGCTGTAGTTAAGAAAAGTTTACCTCAAAGAGCAGTTTGTCACAAAAGCTTAACCTCTATCCCCAAAAAGACAGAGAAGCTGAGAAGGATGATATCCTCTCTTACTGTATATCTCTATGAGCCTAGGATTTAGCTTTGGTTCTTACTGTAATAGCAAAGGTCCTGACCATATGTATTAGCTTTTATTGCTATTTATATCTAAGATAGATGGGCTAGCAATTTCCTTTTATATCTTCCATAAATATTTATTGTCTGAAAAATCACACAGCGCACCAACTATTCTATTATAGGATGAAACAGAGCAGAGATTTAGGCCAGTTCTGGAAACAGAATACTTTGATTTAATAGCATCGTGACCTTAATAGGGTTATGTAGCAATTTGATCTATCCTGTTGTAGATTTAGTTTATTATCTGAGAAAACTGGTAATATTGATCAAAGGAAAGACACATTTAATAAGTGAGCATTGCAGAAAATCGGTGCATTCATTAGCTAACTATGCTTTGTGCATGCGTGCATCCCATTCACACTTATAATGGTGTTTAATTCAATATATTTCCACTGTCATTGGTGAAAACATTATTAGGAAAGCCTGCAGTTTCCTCTCTAAACATGCAGAAACATTCTAATGAACCTGCCACGGTCACGGTTTGTTCATGATTGCTTTGTTCCTGATTCAAGGCTATACTGAAGCGACGAGATACGCCTGAGTGCCTGGCGAAAGTATAACCAGATAAGAAGACAGCAGCATTAGTAAGGAATGGAAGAGGCCTAGAGATACACTGAGCGTGACTGTGAGAAAGGAAGGAACCAGAGAAGCCTGTTTTCTTTTTGGCTGCAATGTTGTTATGCTTTGTTTAAACTCATAAAGATATACCCCCTGGAGGTTTTATGCTAAAAATTCTCCCTTTAAAGAAGTTATAAGCAACACATTTTGAGTTCATTTTTAAAATCACACAATCAGCAGAATTCAAGTACAAAAAACCGGACAATACTTCATAAAAATCTGTATATCTTTATAAAAAAATGTGCTTATAAAACAGTAAATGTTCATCGTCATAATGTATTACATTACAAAACATACATAACATACAGTATCAAAAAACACCATCAGGAACATTAGTGCATGTAACAACCTTCATATAAATCACATTTGAAATTGCTCATATTACATACAAATACAGTGGAAATGTGTACAACTCTTCTAGTCACAACAAAGAAGAGCTGGTTAAAAAAAGTCAGTTTAATAAATGTTAGTTTCCTTTAAGGGCTTGTCCGAGTCAGAGTCCTCGAGCGTCAGATATCTACGCCTGCAAGAAGGTGATGCGATTATTTCTGTTCCGTCTCTTGCGGCGACCTTTGACTTGGCTTGTGAGTTTCTTGCCTCCTGGAAACAAAAAAACTGATTAGTGTGATCACCTATAATTAATTACAATTCCTTTCATTCTTTTCTCATAATTCAGCAAATTCAAGAGTCAGATCTTCCTTGGTTTCCTCTGATGAAGACATAAACTTAGCAATATAGTTGGCAATCCAAGTCATTACTACTTAATTAATTCTGCAAACTTTCCTTGTATTAACGTCTTCAGTTCACTGCATGCATTCACCTGTTACTCACTTCTAGCACACACGTCCATGCAGCTCTGCCTCGTGACGAAGTTGTTGCTGCTCCCTCCGCAGCCTGTGTAGATGAACTCATCACACATCTTGGTGGCGGTGTTGTAATAAAACCGAGGAATTGAAGCAGAGCAGTTGCCTTTGTCCAGAGGGTCCAGGCAGAGCACAGGGACACCTGAAAAATAAGACACAAGACATAAGACATGGTGCATCACAAAGGCATGGAAAAGCCCTTTTTTCACACACACTGAATGCAAATCTAAATCTTCTTTCTAAACAATATAGGTCAAACTGTTGTAATGTAATCATGTCTTGTATCTTGGTTTTCACGCATGAAGAGATGGATAAAGTGAGTTTCACTCCAGGATTACTCAGTGGCAGAACAAGTAAACAAAGTTTATACTAACTTTTTTTTGGACTGCAATACTCCTTGCAGGATGTGAGGTCTCGGAAGCGATTGGAATTGCCCTGGCATCCACCGTAATAAAAGGGCTCACACTGCATGGTGGTCATGTTGAAAAAGTAGCGGCTAAAGAGGGCCCGGCATGGTCCCTCCTCTTTAGGGAACCTGCAGATTTGGGGAACCTCTGTGAAGAAGAAGAGCCACATTTTAGGTTAGGATCAGAGCATCCTGAGAAAAACTTAATTATTAAACAAGTATTAAATAAATTATACTATAATATAACTTTCATAGCAGTCAATGTACACTATCAAATATACAATACAAAGAGTAAACCACACCCTTTAGCAGATATATAATAAGTTACAGAAGTGAGCACCATCATTACAGTGAGAACCTACTTGGGATTCTGAAACATGATTTCTGGCACTCCTGATAGCTCCTGAAATTATTGGCATTCCCTTGGCACCCTCCATAGTAGAAAATCTCGCACTTTTGGGTGATAGTGTTGTAGTGGTAACGCTCAATGTCCGCTCTGCAAGGTCCCTCGTCCACTTGAAGGAGACACTTCACAGCTGAAAGCAGCAAAGACATTGTTGTTTAAACACGAAGTAAAGAAGCTGTGCGTAACGGCCGCCAAACTGGTGATCTGTAGGTCTTACGCAGCCAAGAGGTTATATTATGGACAACAGGACTTTAAAGTGTTAAAAAGAGTTTCGCAAACTACAGAAGAAACGATAAAACATGCCGTGAGCTTACCTTTTGGTGACAACGCTAAAACGTTGTAAAACGAGGAGAACAGTGTAAACAGCGCTAATGTGCAAAACTCCATTGTGCAACTTTTGCTCTAACTCCAGACTTTTCCGCTTTGACGACCATCCCAGCCACATCCCTTTTTATAGCTTTGTAAAGTCTTTCCAGCCATGGACTTGAGGGGCGGGGATTCAATGACTCATTGAATACTTCATGTTAACCCGATTATTGGTGATGAATTCACTTATTGACATCAGAGACTCGTTTTTACGTTGTAATAGTGCGTATATTTTGTGACTAACAGCGTATTCCTCACAACTAAAACCAACACATGGAGAGAAGTTTAATTCCCCTCGGTCTTCACTGGTCCCCGAGTAGCCTATGATGATTATGATGGTGGTGATGATCATGATGATGTACACAGTAACACCAGATTATCTTTGTAATCTTTCCAGAGAAATTCTTTCATGAAACCCCTTTTATTGCGCTGTTTTAAGACGGACACTCTTGTGAAACATTAACATTTCACTTGTCTGATTAATCCTGCCAAGTTCCCACCAGTATCCTGTCTGACTGGATCAGAGACACACACACACACGCACACACACACACGCGCACACACACACGCACACACACACACACACACACACACACATTCGCCTCCATTTCCAGCCTTGTGCTTTATGTTATTTTCTTTTGCCTAATAATTGCTGCCGCCTTTTACATTATTTAAAGGAAACAGTAATGTCTTGCAGCTTTCAAATGTTCAAAGTGCCCATTCCTTAGCCTTGAAAGCAGCATTATTTGTCAATTTAGGTAAAAATGTATGATAAATTATAGCTGTTTGGTTTCAAATATGTGCATACCCGCTTGTTTGTTGCAGGATGTTACTGGAGAACTGGCGTGCAGTCATGAATAAAATGAAGATGTGCATCCACCTTGACAGGTGAAGGCTAATACAGATTATCCTTCTTATCAAAGGGACCTCATACATTAAGCAAACCAGTAACCCATTTTATATGAGAGAAAACAGAATAAGAAACAGCTACATCTAAATGTAATCTGCAATATACAGCTTCTTGTTTTACTCAAAACAGACACCTGTGTAATTAATTGTCCTGTTTAAAAGCATCAGACACGGTCTTGATCATCATGGGGCCTTGTTTTAATCAGATTAGAGGAGGATTAGAATTGTTTCTGCAGATTACTTTATAACCCAGATTGAGGGCGAGGAGAGGGATTCTTCAGCTGGATTTCAAGGGAGAAGGACTGCTCCTTATAAGCATCCGTAAGTGAATTTCTATTCCATAAATGTACGTTTTCTGAAACATGTGAGTAAGAATCTTTAGAGATCTTTATCTGTGTTTATAAATGGCAGTGAGGATTTGGCAGGAAATGGTTTCTTTTTCTTTTTTTTAAGAGAATGCCAGTCATAAACATGGACGACCTGACGGACAAGGACAAGGCTCTAATGGCAGTAAACCAACTTAAAACTGAAATAAAACTGGAAAGGTGGTTGGTAAGTTTTTCCCCCTTGATGTTATGTCACTGTCTTCATGTTTTTTTAAAGTCCTCAGTAAAGACATTTAGTTGTCAGACTTTAATCCTTGACAAGCAAAAACGTATAATTGTCAACCTGTTTAAATGCAATTATACAAACTGCAACTCCAGGATTTTCTACATGTCTAGATAACACTGTCTCAACCCCTTTGTCTGCTCACTTTAGACATCTAAGTGCTGTGAGGAAATCAAGGCATACATTCAGGCTGGAGAGGAAGAGGACATCCTTTTCAAAGGCATTGCAGAGGATAAGAACCCCTTCAAGGAAAAAGGTGGCTGTGTCATCTTCTAAACTGAACCTGAGGAGCTTTTCATATCTCAGATTAGCACCAAAGAACATTCTCCTTCCCCCTCATAAAATGGATTTGCAGTCTGAGAAGACTAGAGGGATATAATAAAAAGAAAGATCCCATGTAAACTATTCCCCCTCTTCTAGCCAGATGTATAGCCTTATAAAAGTATTATTTGAAAAGATGCAATAAAAAAAGTAGTATTTGGCATGGTTATGTAATCCTTCTCTCTCATGTGGTGCATAGTCTGGGAGAATGGGCCCATGTGTTGTGTCATATACAGAAGCAACTGTCATTAAACGAGCTTGTTTATAACTCAGCTTGTCTCCATCATAACTGTGAAAGGTTTCAGACAATATATAGTTTCATAAATCAGATTACGTGCAAGTTTGAACCATAATTTTCTATATGTTGCATATCGTTTTTCATATTTTTGCCTGGAATAAAAGAAAAAGCACAACATATTTCATGGGTAAAAACATGCAAATCTACCAATCCTTTAAGACAGTTGTTTTCCACTGTTTTGTCTTTTGATCTATTTAAAACAAGCATGTCTATTTGTGACTCTTAGTCATACATTGCAGGACTTTCATCAAACAAGGATATTTCCTTCCACAGATTATTATATTTAACAAAGCTTTGTTCTGTGATTCAATCTCTGATGAATATTGAAGAGGAAAAACTCTCTAGGATTTACCAAGAGATTAGCAATGACTACAGAAAATAAAACACATGTGTAATAGTCAGTGGCGGCTGGTGGAAAATATTTTAGGTGGGGCTGTGGAAATGGTGATCAAACAATACTAGAGGGGTCCGGGGGGATGCTCCCCCGGTAATTTTTTTTGAGAAAAGACCCCTTAAATCATGACTTCTGGTGATGTTAGAGGGGGGGAGGGGGAGGGGGGGGGGGAGAAGGACAATTTGAGGCTTAAAAATATGAGAAGACTGATCAATACCTCCATAACTTCAGTGTGGTTAGCTATGAATCTTCCAAAACTTCCAAACACCTTGTCCTGGACATAGTTTCTACAGCATAAACTGTGCAACAGTACAGTAGGCCCACACAAACTGCAGAACACCGGGGCTTTGGGAACACTGATTTAATTCCCATTTAACCTGTTAAAGGGCTTTTTCCCCCCGTTTTTTTTCTCACGAAACTGTGTCTCAGGGCTTCTTAAAATGTAATAAACTATTCATGTGTCCTACTCAGAGGAAACGCATCTAACTGATGATATGAACCATGTTTACCGAAACAAAACACAAGTCTCACAAGAAGCGTCTAAATGAGCCCTGAGCGAAAAAATGCTAACGCACTCTAGGTATAAATCAATCGATATACTTATCGGATATGCACAAACAAGCTTACAAGCTGAGATTCCACATATTCTAGAAATATAAGTATCATCACTGAGCGATCAGAACTCGTGACAGGGGAAGCAAATACAGACATCACACGACGTAGCTTTAGGTATCAAAACATGGAGATATGCTCACCTTTTGCAGAATAACAATTCTGATCAAAAACGATAAAAACGCAGCTGAAGGTTAATCCATAGGTTAATCCAATGTGTCTGTCACTTTGAAAAATGATTGATGATCCATAATTCAATTTTTATGTAAAAAACTGAGTTTTCATTAGCTGTAGCTTCCAGAGTGTATGACAGCTTCCTGTTTTGTCTCCTTGGATACGAGTCCAAACAACTCACAGACTGCACCGGGCGCTCATGTAGGAGCCCTGTGACCATCATATTTGACGACGCTGATTGGCTGAAATTATGTTTTCGCCGCATAGTTTACACGTTACAGATAGCAACAGTCAGCTGCTAGTGGCTGCTGCTGCACTGGTTGAGGGCTCCTCTCTTAGCGCCCAGACGAGAGAAGGTACACGGGCAAGGCCAGGCAGGAAACATGTGACTTATCAGTAACTTTAGACATCGTAACACAATTTTAAACGAGATTTTATTGTAGATTATACATTTTACTGATACCAATTATATAATATTTACCTTGTTCATTAAAAATAAAAATAAAAATATATATATTTTTTAAAATATATTTTTTATTTTATTTTTATTTTTATTTTTTAATATGGGAAGAGGTGGGGCGGCGCCCCTAGCGCCCCTATGGACCGGCCGCCACTGGTAATAGTGCAGAAGAAGTATGATTCCCCCAACTTCCTTCATACTGGGAGCCCTATGTTGGGAACCACTGCTTTAATAGATTATAAGCAGTGGTACAGTAGTAAGCTTTTTTCAACTACTGGGTTACACATTATATATTTATCTAGTAGGGGTATTTCCCTACATGACTGAAGCCAACGGGGAATCAAACATTACCAACATTAAAATTTCCCATTGGGATTAATGTTTTTATCTCGGGAGAAACCCAAAGTGCAAAGTACAGTAGGTGAAAGTTACATTCACATACTGCGCATGCGCACACAAACTGCTGTCAACAGACATGGCGCTGCGTGAAGGAGCTCTCCGTTTAAACCTGCTACTCAACAGCCGTACTTTCTACAAATTCAACTCCTCTGTTGGTGTCCGGTCGTTGTCGGGAAATGTGTCATCTACACCTGTAACATCCAGTGCCCCAGAGATCGCGAGTGACCATTTAATCTACACACAAGAGCACTTTGCATTAAAGGAGTCCCTCAGAAAGGTAACACATGACTGCTAACAACATAGCATCCTTCGGCGTTACAATGAAAACAAGGCTAGGTTTAGCTTTGGTAACAAGGTGACAGGTGGATATTGTAGTACCCAAGTGTGTTGTTAGAAAGCATGAGTGTTATTCTGCTTAAAGTAGCTGTATGACGCAGACAAGGGCATTATAATGGAAGTGGGTGAGAGGTCACTTTGTTAGCTTGTTATATAGGTACCCTTCATTGAACTGTGGTGGTGTCTGCAGAAGCTGATTGTATTATGGCTTCACTAATAACAAGTTAAACATACGTTTGTACGTTGCTAACACTGTTGGAAAGCTGTCTTCATCCTCAAATGACTGCACAGACATACATGTTTTTTGTTGTTGCACAGACTCAGTGTTTTCATGACCCATACATACTACACTCCCACATATCCTACCTGGGTAATGTCATCTGCTCTGGCACTGAGATTATTTTAAGCTTTGGTTACATTAGTCAGTTAAAGTTGAGATTTCCTAACATATGGTGTCATGGCAGCAGTAATTGTGTGATAGGGCTGGATGCACAAACTATGTTGAATGAGTGGGTACTTGTAAATGTCTATAACTATGTAAATGTATCCTGTAAATATAATATATGATGTCCTTTATTGTTTTATGTTTCATGTGGAACCTATATGCTGCAGGTCTCCCTTGAAAAAGAGATCTATGATCTCAATGGGACCAATCTGGTTAAATAAAGGTTTGAAATGAAATGAAATGAAATGAAGATGAAGTAGTTGTGGTCAAGCCTGACCACATAGGAGTTTCCCGGAACAATTTTAAAATGAATACTGCAACACGTTTTTTTAGATATGTTTTGTTGCTTTAACATGTGTCTCAGAGACTGATTGATTTGGAGGTCAAAATTAGATGTGTTCTTCCCATAAAACGATATTTATATTAGTATGACAGTAAAGTGCTGATAACGTGTGGGAAATGTTTTGATACCAGAGGATTTGGGGACTATTTGTAGACCTAAATAAATATTGACGTGGCTTGACAACTAAGTGGGCCATGACATTCAGATTGAATCTCCTATCAAGCCAGTAGTCAATGTGATTTAACCAAAGCAGATCTGATGTTTGGACTTTTTGGACACTGAATAGTATGTTGCATCTCCCTTAAATAGAAACTGCACATGTGTTATTCTTCTTCCGGCCATTGACTTTGTCGGATTAGAAAATATTCAGTTTAAAAACTGATTTGTGTAATTTGGGAATTAAGTGAGTCCCACTTTCTGTTTTACAGCACACACTGCAATGATATAATAATTTTTATTTTCCCATGAAATTGCTTGATGAAACCCTGAAATATTCTGGTCATTAAAAGTGTAAAATGGCTGTTTAATTTAAATGTGTTAAAACGTATTTGCTACTTTTGTCTCAAAATCCTAGAATAGAAGGCATATGGATTATTTCTTTAGTGTTTACTCTGATGTCTCCAGTAGTATGTCATGCTTTTGTTAGTGACTCAAGCAGCAATCTATTCTCTATTTGCTTGAGAAAAAATTGGTTTCAAAAACATTTAAAACACTAGCTAGGCGAAGGTCTTACTCATGTTTTCTGTTTCCCAGCTTCTTCCACTTAAACTCAGTGTGCCTCTTCTTTTTCTGCTATATTAGTTACTGATTTGTGACATGCAGAGCTTTTATCTTTGAAAAGCTAAATATCAGAAGCTGCAAATTACAGTTGTAAAATATCAAAGCAAGGATTAGTAATCAGCATGACTCATTTGGGATACATATTACTAGACAGAATTTGGAGACATAGACTGCAGAAATAACAAGTGTCTAATTTAAGGCAGGGAGCGAAGATGTTGCGGTAAATGGGGGGAAGCTTGTTGTGTGACTAAACCTTCAAAAGGATGCTTGGAGGTTGAAAATAAACGAGCACTGGGAATAATGGGAAGCATGAAAATGTGAAAAGGAAATGCAGAACAATATGTTGGCAGTGCAGGAAAGGGAACTTGAGGCAGCGCGGTTTATTAAAAGAATTCACTGTAGAATAGTGTGTGTTTATAGATGCTATACAAATGGGGTTATAGGAAATCCTTTAGTGACTGTCCTTGCAAGGTCAGATGTTCATCGTGCCAATGTTTCCACTACCAATCTTCTGTTAATGGGTGGGGAGGACGTAGGGCCACATACAATGTTGTTACATTGGCTATGTGTGTGTGTGTGTTTGTGTGTGTGTGGCATGATGCTCATTTATAGATTAGACTAACAACTTCCCATAGTAAGAAATTAGTCAGGCTTCCAGACTCCCATATATACAAACCAGCCAAACAATTGATGTGTGTGTGTGAGAGAGTGTGTGGGATCAGCTTCTGACATTAATGAGGACATGGAGTTTTCCTGAACACTTATAGGAAGAGCATCCTCACATGCGGCCTCCCATGGTTTCAGACTTCCCAAACACACACTAAAAGCTATTCTAGGCTGAACACTGTTGGCAGGTGGGCTGTATTTCTTTACTTTGTTTATGTTGTGTGCTACTTGCAACAAATTACCTTTTTATGTTTCTATCCTTTACAATTGGCTTGTGAATAATATAACTTTCTTCTTGCCTGAATACTTTTGACTTTCCTGCAAAAAATACCAATATATGACTTAAATCATGCAGCCTTATTCAT